GTTTAATTCTTGGCGAAAGTTTATTAATGGCGACGTCATATTACTAATGAAGACGCCCCCCCCGCCCACCTCCCTCTCGTGCCATCGAGGTTCAAACGAGACTAATTCTATGCTAAACAAACACATGCAATACTCTCATGTTGTCACGCAACACATGTGCAAGTATCACGAAAAACGTGGTGCTTGTATGACACACATATAGGAAAGGACAACTACCGGTAGTCTGAATGAATTACCGGGTGTAGCTGATAGTCGTTTATGTTTAATACGCGACAATCGGGAACGGAACGTAGCACCGTAACTAAAATACACGGAACCAGAAATTTCGCTTGTGTAATCATCGTCAATATCTCACAAAATTCTCCGTTTAATCACGTCGTTCTAGACCTTGCGTAATACTACATAGGTTTGTTGGGCTGCTGCCTGTGATGTAGGCAGGCTGATGTGATGAATAAATGGCGAGCATAGACCACATTAGATAGCGTCCGATGCTCGGAAGCCCAAACGACAGTGACCTCAGTAACTATTGGCGATGTAGACTCTTCGCGGTGCTGTGGTTGCTCATGGGAAACGATGGTGGCCGGGGCCTCACCAATCAGGGCGTAGAGTATGCAGCTTCACAAAGGTTTGTGACGGGGATGTTGTTGGTGGATGCCAATCGCACCGTGTGCATGTGCGGCATCAAATGTAGCGAGGATGGTAGGCCGCTGTGTGTGGTGTAGAGAGATGTTAGACCGCTGTGTGTGGTGTAGAGGAGATGTGGCCGCTGTGTGTGGTGGGGTGGAGAGAGATGTAAGCCCGCCGCCTGCGAGTGCGTGTCGTAGAGAGATGTAGCTGTCGGAAGTAGAGCGGCCTGCATGCCGAGTTGTCAATCCGCAATGAGGTTTCCTGAATGACAGAGATACAGTCGCGGCTGGCCTACGTGTCGTGCGTGCGTCAACTGGAGCAGGTTAAGGAAGCAGGACTACGTCATGTACGTGCGACCACGATCGACATGTACAAGACATTGCAGTTTGGCAGTTTCCTGTGGACGAAAAAACTAACACGTGACGGCGGCCTATATAAAAGTATTGTGTTGTTTGGCCCTCACCGGGCCGAGCCGACACTGCCAAAAGAGCGCCGAACTCGGAAAAATAGTTATTGATTTCTTTGTTTTAACACAAATTGTATCAGTGTAGCATTATATAAATCTGTACCGGAGATACAGTTATATGTGACCGCGATAAGCAAACGAGAAAACATTCAACATAAAGGTATCTCCACACAGAGGCATCCTGAGGCATGCAGACACCACGTCTGAAATTATGTGAAACAAGACCCCCCGCCCTCAAAAAAAAGCAAGGGAAGTTGAAACTACCTACCCCAGAACTTTTTTAGCCCTGGCGTCGGATGAGGCAAACAAAGATTTTTTAATTGTGGCTTGAGTGTTCACGTCAGCATTGCAATAACTCGTCGCGAATGCCTGGCTTTGCAGTGATTGGCCCACAACGCCGATGCCATGTCTGATATCCATTACCACACCAGCAAGCCCTTAAGGACACGATGTGCAAGGGAAGCGGCACGAAGTGAGGTGAAAGTGTTTTCAGAATCTCAGTGGATGGGTCTGGTGTTGTTTGGTGCTGGAGAAAGGTTGTGGTGATATACTATGCGTGTGCCTGTGTGCAGGTGTGAGCTCCTTGCTATACATTGTGGCATGCATAGTCCACAGATGGGTAGCTGCAATAGGAACAAATTTCTGCTGCTTGTGGAATCATTTAACATTCCTTGAAAATTTGTGCAAACAAAGTTTGTTGCCTAAACCATGAAATTCTATCATCGTCTCGGACCTATCATAGTAGGATGCTTGGACTACAGGCATGGAAGGACCATCACTTTGAACAGATGAAGAAATCGGGCAAGCTAGTCTCAAATATATTTGAATGGCCCAAGCCACAGCCCAACTGCTTCCTCTCAACCACGTGTACAGACCAACACGAGAAGTGAAGGTCACTGTTACTTCTTAATCAGTTTGATGATTAATCAAATACTGCAAGTGATATCCTAGAGCTTAGAGGTCGAAGAACGGCCCGACCGACCTGCCAAAAAAGGGCCGACTCAAAAAAAAGTTATTGATATTTTTTTTTAACAAATTGTATTAGTGTACATTATATAAATCTGTACTCAATACATTATATGTACCAAGGAAAAGAAACATTCAACATAAAAGGTATCTCCACACAAGCACACCCGAGCATGTAGATACCACGCTGAATTTGTAAAAAGACCCCCCCTCGCCGTAAAAAAAAAGAGCCGACCTACTGGGTCGTGTCAGGGTAAACAAATATCTTTTAAGGACACGATGTGCAAGGGAACACAAAGTATGAAGTGTTTCAGAATCTCAATCGATGGGTTGGTTGTGTGTGCTGGAAAATTTGTGGTATGATACTATGCTTGCCTGTGTGCAGTGTGAGCTCTGCTATACATTTACATGCATAGAGTCACGGTGGTAGCCAATAAAAAATTATGTGCTTGGAATCAACTTCCTTGAAAATTTGCAACAAAGTTTGCTAAACATGAAATTCTAATTAGTTCTCTCTATTATAGGATGTTGGCTACAGGCATGGAAAGGCCATCTTTGAACAGATGAAGAAATCGGGCAAGCTGTCTTCAATATTGAAGGACAAGCACAGCCCAACTGCTTCCTCTCACCACGTGTACAGGACCAACAGAGAAGTGAGTACCCTTACTTTTAATAATTGATGATTAATCAAATCTGCAAGTATATCCTAGAGGTTCGAAGAGGATGCAGGCAAACACCTGCTCGCAACAAGCGATTGTGTGGCTAAATCCCCTCGCTTTTCACCGCGTCCATAACGCGGTGGAATTTGGATCATCGACTGATACGTTCGCTTGTTTCAGAACCGCATCATGTCGCTGCAGTCGTATACGAACCTCGCGACGCTGGTCTCCCGCATCGAGGAGCCGCTGTCCTCGGTCGTGTCGTCAGTTAGCGACGGTGAGTGTGAGTTTGCATTCGAAGGTACGTCTCACCAGCACAGCTGCTTTCGGCTTCCGCTTCCTACAAGCATGGCGATGTCGATGCAATGGCGCAACGCTTGTGCACAGCTTTAAAGTGAGCTCTGTCATTCATGGACGCACACCTAGGACGATTCCTTACACTACATCGAACCCCTGGTTCTACAGCAGGCTGTGTCGGTGCATGCCAACACAGCCGAGGGAGTGAAGAATGGTAGTACATTCGTCTGTGGTATGGCCGTTGTTATTATGTGTGTCGTCTCACTGCGTGATAGGTGCGGTGCGCATGATCAGATTGCAATGTGTTGACATCTGGTGTATACGTAGTCTTCACATGCATCAATTGAATACTTTCACTGGGTGTGGTGAATACTCCTTCACTCAGTGAATGGTTTGGTTTCATATCACGACTATTCGAATCTAGTTCTTTTTAAACACGGCCCACCTCAACGATTCCTTCTGCAGCAAGGTTGTTCTTTTTTGTTTTAATTGCACGTGCAGCAATGCTTTTCGTTGTGCCAACTACTTTTGCATGGTAAAGATTATAATCGTTTTGAAGTAGTTCACCTAGCTTTCTGCAACTGCATCACTGCTTTTGAATTTTTTGATTTAGTTTATGACTGTGGTCCTGATTTTATTACATTACTTGCATGATAGCTGTGACCTTGTCTATGACCTTGCAAATTTACTTGTCTCGAAGAAGCTATAGCTGTTGTTTCGGGGATTGTTTCTCTAAGCTTAAACAGCAATTTTTGTTATGTCGCAATGCTAAAACTCAACAAAAACGTGATTGCCATCAGCAATCATTAAACGCCACTGCTTCTTTGTTGCAGTATTAAAATGCTAGTTTCGCAATTCCAGACCTGTAAAACGTTGTTCTTTCTCGGTTGCGTTGCTGAAACACGATCGTTTTAACAATATGTCGCTATAACACCGTTCGCTTGTCCGTACGTTCTCCGCAGACGAGTACGAAGATGATGACCTGCTCGACGACATGAACTTTGACCTGACCACGCAGTCTGACATGTCGACGCAGTCAGCGCCAGAAGACGGCTCATCGCTACGGCAACGCCGAGACCTCAACGCGAAGCAGACGCTCAGCGAACCGGTCAACTTCACAATCGGTAGCAAGTAGCATTGCAGCAACTGTTGCTACTGCCGCCATGACAGTTAGTGGACGCAGGCGATTCGACGCCATGCAGTAACTGTATAGTAACCAGAGAAGAAACACTGAGCTGAGGTGCGGTTTGATGCGTCTTTACTAAGTTTATGTTCGATCGATGGCAAACTTCTCGCAGAGAAATTCCGCTTAGGAGAGAGACGCGTTAGCGAGTGAAATCTACAATGATGTGTAGGCATTGTATTTTGCACGTTGCATTTACAGTGGTTTGTAATGAAGTTGGTTACCATTTTTAGTCGATTCATTTCCAGTATGCATAGTAGTGCAATGACAGGAACAGAGAAACAGAGAGGTTTAGGGTTCTTTCATCCTCTCCTATTGTGTGCCAAAATGTGTTTGTAGGATTTGATATGTTATGCTCAGGAGCATATGTTGATATTATTGTGAATTGTCAATATTTGCCAGCGACAGTATTTTTGTCACATTGCCAAGTTTCGTTTCAAGCTTTATTGAGCTTATTGCTCGGTTTACTGTGATATTCGCCAACAAAATGGTACCCGAGCTGTTATGCGCATGACAAGGATGTTAAATGTGCTGATACTAGTGTAACATGCTATTTTATCACATGTTAAATGCACTTGTTTGTAAAAATCTTAATGAGAATGGACAGCGATTAGGACAGTGGCCTATGCCATGCCTAAAACATTAGCATGATGTTAACATGATTTTAATTTTGCTTTAACGGGTCCCTCGTGATCTGAACATGGTATAGGGGTAGGTGCTATGGTTTCTTGTTTTCACTTGAGTAGCATTACTTGCGTCACTCGAGTACATGGAGTACAGATATTAAACAACTTTCAGTGTTGCAACAATAAAGATGTAGCTTTGCAGGAAATGGTATATAAAGCAAGTACATTGTTATGAACCATTGAAGTAACCTAGGTTCTGCTTTGGCTATTTACACATAACTTTTTATGTATATGATGTGGAAGATGCATCTGCTATGTAACATTAAAGCAATGTTGCAAAATGGGTAGTCGAGGTTATCTATATGGAACTATATAGAACATCATCAATGCAATTTTATTATATATACTGTATTTTACAAGGTGCTGATAACAAATAAATCCAGAGATACAAGTATTGGCAGTGAGAAGGATCTTTATCTCCCATTCTAATTAAATCCAATTTTAAGCAGAACATCAGTGCCTTTTTGCTATAAGGAATGCAAAGCATGAGATTGCAGTACACAAGAGGTGTGGAAAAATAAGCTGGTAAAATTATATAACATGGCTTGTCCAGGAATGTTAAAATTTATACAGACGATGGCAGATTGTAATCATTGCTCCATGATCAGAATACGAACACCAATCCAGCCTGTTTTGTCTGGTAACCTAATATTTCATATATTCTACTGTGATATGGTCTAGGAATGCATGTTACAGCTAAGGCGACTAGATCTTATGTTGAAACTCTGTACAGTGGTCAAGTGGTGATTACAATCGGCTGTTAGACAAATATACAAGTAACAAAAGATCAGCATGCTGATAGTCAGACCTCATCCTCATTGAGCAGCATGTTTGGGATTCCGTTGTTGATGGGAAACTTCCTTCCCGTTTCTGGACATATCAAGTTTCCGGATATTACCTCCACCTGTAAATAGACGTTTCTGTTGTATAATTCATGACAACATCTATACTTCGATCTGTGCTGGAGAAGAAAATCACAATTCATGTTTTTAAACAACCATCATCTGATACAGGCAACAGATGCGTAATTCATATGATGACAGTTAGCTAATAATAAATTTACCTTTGAGAGACCCTTAAAGCATGGCTGGCATTAAGTTCTGTGCCTTTACCAAGCTCAACACTGACATGCCAACACCAATTTTGTAGATGGTGTGGTAGCAACATATATAGTTTCAAATGCTAACAGACACAGACATCAGCATCTCAAATTTAACTCTACACTACTAGTAGCAAAGTAATTCATCATATATGTGTAAAATGATATACAAGGGCACCACAAACTCCAAAAGGGATACATTACTCTAGGTTCTTTGGATATTTTCAGTTAAAATAGGTAAAAATTACGCTATATAAAAAGTGTTATGGCTGGTTCAACATTCATTGAAATATTTTTTTCAAATGTTTTAAAATTGACAGCTATACCGTTGAATATTTCGAAGTTCAATGTTGTATGACAAACGTTAATGTGTAATTATAGAAATTTGTAAGTATATGCTATTATTTATGCATTTACTATCATAATACTCTAAAATTCTAGGGGAAAGTATCCCTTAAAATGATAAGTTAATAAAGGCATGTATACTTACTTCCATCAATAAATGATGAACCTTTTTCAAAAAGTCCTGATTACTTTCTATATTTTCTGGCAACTCTTTTGGTAAATCTCCAAGCTTCCCAATCTAAAAATGTAAAAAATTACATTAAGGTTTTTATGATTAAATCGCTGTGTTATAAAGCACAGCACTATCGGCCAGTGAAAAAAATACACGGGGGCTCGGGGCGTTATAGCCCCCGAAATGCCAAAAAGTGCCAGTAAATTTGCATAGAGTTTAATGCAAACGAAATTTTAGAGTGCTATTTTCATGCACGCGAGCTTGAAAAGTAGCCCCCGAAAAATACATTTTTTCCCTGCTATCAGCATATATGACGAATAGAGTAAAACGAGACATGGTTTATTTGACTGTGGGTATTGACCGAAGAGCAGCACTAGGAAAATCTGCGGTCTATAGTGACGTACAGAATCAGCAGCTGAACATAACGAGCCCCACTCGAGCTTTGGAATCATTCGGCAAACAAAGTCCGGGTTGTAGTCTACGGCTACTTCCTTCACTTCCGATGCCTAAGAACAAAAAACAGAATGATACGAATAAGACGGGCACCGGTTAACTCGACACATTGGTCAGGTTTGCCGGCGAGGCAAGTTCACTATGGACCAAATAACACAGCTACTACTGTTACATTTCAGAGATACCGAAAACAGTGAAACATACAATGGAAGACCAACATTATATAAGTGTCAGTCCATAACTGACATGTATGGCTCGGTACACATAATCACTGTCTTAGTGTCTTTTTTCCAAGGCTATAAAATAACGCAAGTTACGTATAACAATATAATATTTTAATTTATAACACACACTAGTACTACTACTACTTGGAGTTCAATTTATTATGAATAAAGCAGTAGTCGGCCGTAACATATTCATGTAAAGGTGGGAATATATATGTACACGCAGTGTACTAACACTAATGCTTTACATTAACACTAACAGTAACAGGAGTGAGGACTGTTAGGAGTAAACTCTGGACTACAGCCTAACCCGACCAGGCTGTGTGACTAACGTGAATATACATATTCTAACCCTAGCAATACCGTTTCTTGGAGCTAGACTAGCTCCAAGAAATGGTATTGCTAGGATTAGAATACCTTTTCAAATTCTTGCCCCATAAAAACGTGTAGTTGGCTCGGTATCCAAACATCGACACAGCTAGCGTCACATGTAATAGCTCAAATGAATCTATAAACCTCTGGCTTGCTAGCGGTAACTGGGCGCTACTTATTTAATGAGTTATGCCATATTTTCTGAGTTTAATTAGATGAACACAACAAGAAAGCCGCCATGTCCGCCATGTTCGGTGCGACTAAAATCGGCAATGGACCTGATTTTCACAGTGCATTGGCCTAAACACAAGGCAAGTACATATCTTCGCAATGATAATTATTAAGTTGTTGTAGATTGATGTTTCCTGGTTTTCAATGTTTTAATATTTATATATATATACGAGTATATGATGCTTATTTATGCTCGCGCCAACGCAAGTTGCAACGCTATGGTATGTTATGTCGTTTCGGGTTTTCCGCATTCCGATCGAAAAGCACATGCGCAGTGCAAACATGGCGGTTGGCGATTGGTTGAAATTTACACTGTGCACAGCGAACTGAGATATTCGTTTTAATAACAACGCTGGAATACTATCATAAGGTAAAGGTTATACTTGATATAAAACAAGGCCGAAATGCTTAGATGATTATTTTATTTGAGATATACGTAATTGTTCGGTAGTTTTTGTAGAGGTACACGATTTTCCAATGGATGGATGTCAGGCTGTATATTGACATTAGTCACACAGCCTGGACGTGATGGGCGTCGAAACCAGGGCGCAACCCGATGATTGGCACGCAGTGCCACGCTTAAACAGGCATCGCCCTCCGCCCCTCATCACGCAAGTTTACATCTAATGTATTTCGACAGGAAATTGCTGATCTAACGTTCTGCCGCATCAATCTACTCGTGAACTGTCTTAATCGATAGCTAGTGGCTTGTTAACAAAAATTACGTGCTATTTAGCACGCTGCGCCCTTGAATTTCTTCGTAAATCTGCATTTTAGTGAGACCGTAAGCCCCGCCCATTATTCCTTATACGGCGTGCACGGCAGAGAGCAGCGGGCTGAGCCGAGGGCTTATCCGTTATCTGGCGATTTTCCAGACACATAGTCGCCAGCGCAGTTCGAACGTGTGGGTTACATAAGGTCAACGCGTTAACGCCTAGATTACAGCAGCTGGGCTGGTGGCAGCCTGGTGGTAGGTTAGTATGTACAGTGTATCATGGGTATATGTTTTGCTATTTTATAAAACCACAAGATCATCCGCTGACCGCTGTGGATACGTGCGCCGGGTCTACAATGTGGCGCACGTATCCACTGCGGGCAGCGCTTCATACCTCAACATCTCCGCGGTCGCGTGCGCATATATCCCCTGGAACAGTGCGTGTTGTCAGCGCCGCTCAGCGCCTCATGATCTAAAGCCAAGCTGTGCAACGCAAACTTGTATCATGTCTCACTGGTTGGGTTAGGAGCTAGACTACAGCCTAACCCGACAAGGCTGTGTGACTAACGTCAATATACACAGTCAGTATTCTAACCCTAGCAATACCGTTTCTTGGAGCTAGACTACGGGGAGTACAGCCAAGCCATTCGGCATTCACTCACTCACTACTCAGTCACTGTTTCATAAACATTTACTACTTAGTTTCTTACCACAATTCCTAGTGGGTAGCCCTTCACCACCCCTTTCATGAATTTAGAAGTTAACATATTATGTGTCAACAGCTTCATTTTTACTTATGATGGTAATTAACTAACGATAAACGTTGAAATCGTACAGCGAAGCATGCGAAAACAATTCGCCTCTCCTGAATCATGTATGAACTTAGACTGGTACTCGCTCCCACCTCGATTACTCGATGAGCCTAAGCCACTGGCCTAAACCGAGAGGTGGGATCGGGAACCAGTCTAGTATGAACTAAAATCAAAAGTAAAATAAATTCTATGCATTTACTAACATGTATATGTAATAGGTGCAAAATATTATTTAATGCACATATTTAACAGTAACAATAAATTTTATTATGCGAATAGCGATATAATTTTAAGTGCGAGAATGTATATGATGCGTCCTACGTCTAACGGGGTAGGTTTTTACATGGCGGCGCCCATTACAAACCGCATTAGTGCACCGCTATCGCGTGACAATGACAATGGTAAAACAACTACTCTAGCACCGGCATTTTAAATAAATAATGAAGATGTGGGGACGTGTTTGTTAAACTGTAATGTCGACCAGTCAGCAAAGCTCGAAGTTTCAGTCTAAACCATCCTTCACGAGCGATATAGAGTTTTGTTCGGAGTGCGGAGCAATCTTGCCTCTTCCTGGACGCGACGACGTAGTCGTATGCAGAGTTTGTAGCTACGCAATTGACGTGACAGGTAAGCGCCGCCTATAGATGCCCTTCTGATAAACAATCAATCAAGATTAGTTATGTGGTGATAGAGGCTTATCGGTCGGTCACTAGCTGCCACTGGCAGTGGTTGATGATCACGATAATCATAGCCATAGCATAGGCATTCAATCATCATGTTTTACTTGTTTATTCTATATACTAGGTACTATATATAACACGTGTTGCCCTGCAATCTGACAACGAGCGAGGCGGGCGCCTCCGCTCGAATCTCACCTGCCACGTCAGAAATTTATCCAAAAACCACCGCCTCGCTTGAGACGAAAATTACTTGTTCTTCCCCATCAATAACCACACGTTATTGACCAGCGTTCGAAATTAGTGCCGACCCCGGACGCCCGAGCCACTCAAATTTTTTTGTACTGTCGGCCACCATCTCGCCTCTCCGAAACTAGACCGGCACCTTTTCCCTCATATTACGCTGAAATACTACGGTTATCGCAACGGCAGTTTAGACAGACTTGTAAACGGGGAGCGCATTCTAATTACCCCTCTGGTTCCTGAACGAGACGGATATCCAAAACATCTCGACTGAGAGGAATGGACTCCCTCATTGCATGATCGCGCATCACGAACAAAACCTCGTGACAGTCTATAGAAATCGATTGCGGCTGTAGCGTAGCCTAGTGTTTAATACCCGCATAACAATATAGTTTATATGTTCGTGCAGGGGCTTACTCATGGGAGTGAGGGCAACGACCCTGCTAACGCACTTAATCACCGATCGCATACTGAATTCGGCCCAATTTTCTTACTAGAAAGTCGACTATTTTTATATCATTTAGATATCTAAGAGTCAATGAAACTGATATACTTCAAGATTCATGCACTTTTAACTTTGCGATCTATGCGGCACGCATTGATCCATGCTGGGTACCCGAGACTGCCGAGGAGAAACGAAAGTAAAACCTTTCCCCAGACAGCTTGTTTGTTCCTTTTGACGACTGAAAAAGGATTTCCAAGAGTCCTCATATACAGTGTTCAGAATATTGGTGAATCGCACCAAATTGCATCCTCTTCCTTAAAAAAAAAAATTTGGGTCAAGCATGCCCCGGACCCCTCTCGCATGGCGAGTCCCCCCTGCTGTTTTGCCAATTGGCTCGCTTCTCTGGATTGTGGCAAGCGCACCAAAAAATTTGTTACTCGCCGCCTGTGGGTGGGCCTCGCTGACCTTTTTGGCGAGGGGAAACACTGTATATATATTACGATATACATAAACGCAACCTGCAGTGGCCACCGAGAGCGTACTCTCCCTTCTCTGCTCTCCACCTGCCTCTGTTCCCGTACCTTTGTCACGGCAGCAAATGTCTGGAGAGACTTTTGTAGCTCCAGCTGCTTTGTCAAAGTAGCCTGTTAGTGGGCAAACTTTTGACTCAGAGTTACTGATATTGAAAAGTGAATAGCATATTGTAGTTTTTAGAATGTGTACATTGTCATACAAAAGCGGAATCATCAAACTGCTAAATCTTATTAAGCTCTTATAACTTTCAGAGTTTGCTAAAATAGAAATCAACACAAAAATTGTATTCAACGCCCGTGAAGAAAAACAAGGGACAACTCACTCATCCCAGGACATTGCAGGGCCATTGGTATGGTCAATGATTTTGATACGATTCAGTTTCCTGTAATTATAGATTCACTTCATACAAATATATTACAGGATGGGTTTTACTTTCACATAAATTTGAATTGTGTATTGCTTGCTAATATTCTTTTTAAATATAATGTATTGCTGTGCTAAGCAAATCAAGAATCGTGTGGTAAAGTTGTGTGTTGTGAAATTTAGTCTTATTTCTTTTAGGTTGATAGAAAATGTTCCAAATGTGGGCATGAAGGAATGACATACACCACCAGACAGACTAGATCAGTAGATGAAGGCCAGACTGTTTTCTATTCCTGCCCTGCTTGCAAGTTAGTAAACGTCGTCGTCACATAAGTAGCTTTTTCGAAAACTGCACCTCTCACTGTTTTTCTATCACTCTTAGTTTCTGTGCAATTGACCATCGGTTTTACGAGTAAAGCAACGATTTTCATCATATATACCTTTAGACATGTTTTACTATTTTATGGAAACGTCAGGTTCTTATTTACAGTTTTTTTCCCCGTTTTTAGCACTAAAGAGACGGAATACTCCTAAGGCACCGATAGCTGAGTAAGACTGTAGACATTCTGAGGTAACTGTAGACATTCACAAACGTGCGCAGTCGTTCGCTCCTCGGAATAGCGCCACAAGAAATAGAACCATGAAGACAACGCTGAGCATCTGTGTTCCCGGACAGCGGCTTTGCCGGGCCGACGACAGCCACGCTGCTGGTAGCGGCACGTACGTACGAAATGGCTTCATCTACGCGAGTCTCGCAGGATACATTTGCGAGAGCGCCGGTGAGAGCGGCAGCACTGTCACAGAGGTCCGCCATGACGCCGAGCGCAGCGCCATGCCATACGTCGGCGCCATCGTCACGGCAACCGTGACGCACGTCAACCCGCGCTTCTGCAAGTGCCTCATGCTGTGCGTCGGCGAGAGCGCGCTGCGGGAGGCGTTCCGCGGGCAAGTGCGTCGCGAGGATGTGCGCGCGACCGAGAAGGACCGCATCGAGATGTACCGCTGCTTCCGGCCAGGTGATGTCATCCTCGCCCGTGTCTTGTCGCTAGGCGACCAGTACTCCTACTTGCTGACGACGGCCGAGAACGAGCTCGGGGTCGTGATCGCACGCGCGGAAAACGGTGGCGCCCCCATGATCCCGATCAGCTGGACGGAGATGCAGTGCCCAAGCACGTTCGCAAAGGAGAGCCGAAAGGTGGCGCGTGTGGCACCCCCGTCTGCCGTTACCATCGCTGCTCCCGCGGACGTGACTACGCCGTCGTAGCCAGTATGCAAACCATATCACAAGAGTGTCGCGCGACATCTGTTCATGCTTTCGTATTCGTGCGGTCTATATAGGCGGTGATGATTTCGAAATGTTAAAAGTGGACACATTTCATGTTTGTTCACAGAGATATCATATAAAATAATACAAATAAAAACAATTATTAAAGTGAGGCCAAGTTATGTAATATTTTTATATGGACTATATGTAATGTGGTTTTATAAAAATCATAAGATTTTTGGAAATGATTAGCATATGCACATTCTCAATTAAAGTCAATTCTGAGTTTGTAGCAGTGTAATAGTACATCTATAAATAGAACCTAGGATTTACTCCTGATATCATGAAGCGCACATAAACATATTACTTTATTCCATTTTCTGCTTATTTATTTCATGCAGGCACTCTCTTCGCGGCATAGCACTTATGCTGTCATTGACATAAACATGTAAAATCCCAAACGAAGTACTTGGTGTATTTACTGCATATCACATGTGTGTAACCAATAGTAGGTAATAGATAACTATTAGTATTATTTACTCTTCATATCATTAACGTACGTATGACGGTATGTGTATGGACGTGAATTTATTTTCTTACACTGTGGTGTTATTTCTCACAATCTCGGCAGATGGCGCTGCATGTAAGTGGCGTGATCACTGTCAATAAACATGTCCTCAAGTTCGTCGCTATACACGGAAATATTTGGAGTTGTTTGCGTTGTTTTGGCGCTGATCAAAACAGCGCAATGTTATAAGCCAGTAATAATTATTCACGGAATTCTCGACAGCCCAGACGAACTCGTCGGATTGAAAAAAAACATTGAAGAGGTAAGTTATTTCCACCGTCGAACAGTGAATGACTCGTTACGACTTTACTTTACGTCTTTAGCCTGTGTAAGTGTGGCAGATATAACTTATAAGGTCTATCATCCCCCTGACCTCTGTTTGACCTGGCTCGTTTAACTATTTCTGACTAATATATATATAGGGTTAGGGTTAGTCAGAAATAGCTAAACGAGCCAGATCAAACAGAGGTCAGGGGGATGATAGACCTTACGAGCGTAAGTTGATGATACATTGAATCATTGATAGATACGCCCTTAGCAAGATCAAATATGCCCTCAC